CATAGAGTTTGCTGAGAGCCACAGAGGGATTAGCTCTTGGGCTAACATACACAGCAGCCAGAAACACAGTACTATGCTCTCTTGATAGATAACAGGGCCGGCATTTCAGCAATAAAAACTCCACAGACATTCAGAAAAACAAATATAAGCAGGGTGCAGGCAACAAAGCCTTGGAGTTTTCTATCAAGCGGAATCATTAATTAACAACACAATGTGCTAGTTTGTGTACAGGTTGTGTTAGGCTAATATGTGAAATGATGGCTGTCATTCAAAGTTTCACCTCCATAATTTGTGTGTGCAGAAAGCAAAGCTGGATTAAAGTAACAATCACCTGACACCTAATCTGATTTAATAGTCGGCTTTTTAAAATCAGAAATATTTTAAATATTCCAACAATGTTTCAACACAAAACTAAATTCCCAAACAGCCTGGCCATGAGAGTTGGACTTTATGTTTGTACTTAACGTCCTGACATTCATTTATCAGTTCTCTCATCCGAAAACTGTTTTTTATTTCTTACAGACTCATCAGCAAAGTGAGCATGAGCAGCACTTTGAGACTGGACCTCAGTTAACCTGAGAATAAAGAGACACACTTTGCCTCAACGCAACAAATAGATTACTAACAGCACCACGAGGCTTGCAGCTGCACACCGAGGAAGTGCCTCTTACAAACACAAAGCTTCTTTAAGTGTTTTTAAGAAAAATGCATCGTATTATACAGCTATTATATACAGCATGTGTTCCGCTTCCTACTTTGGCATGTTTAAAATGAGGAACTCTTCTTGAGACCAGCTTTTTCAGTGTACATGCTGACGTGTAGAACGTGGACAAAATGTTTTCACCGTCTTCCTGAAGAGTCTGTGAACGCTGGAGGTGCAGCTGTGAATCTGCAGTTCCCCTGTTGGGATGTGTTTTCTCCTGAAGAACCTTAAAGATGACCCCTGCATCTAAAGCCACTGTCTAGGAAGAACCAGGATATACCTCAGTTACTGGTCCAAAGAGTCCTCCTGCACCTTCTGATGGCCTTGTAACTACTGGAGTAGTGTCTGCAGTTGTTTGCACAGTGGTCAAAAGCAAACCGTGCTCCTACTGCTCGTGTTAACTCCTGGTCACACCAGAAAGGGGTGCAGCAAAATCAATCGGTTGTGAAATATTGGCTTCTAGAGTCTTGATGTAGTGCGAATATTAACAGGGAAAGTGTTAGCTAAATGCTAACACCTGCTAAAGCTAGTCAGTCACAGTCATTCCAGTGTCTTCAATAAATAATTATTAAGAAGTTAGAAGACTCGTTTCCTCAGCTCAATTGCTAAAGAGAAAATAAGTTAATTTAAAGATTGCTTGCATTTGTTACCACTGGCTCTGTTGGCTGGGATTGGCTCCAGCCCTCCTGTGACCCTTGTTGGGATAAGTGGTATAGATATTGGACACCACTGTCTCCTGACTGTCTGTAAACCATTTCAGTAGGAGTGAACAGTGAGACAGCTGATAGGCCATGAAAACTTTCTACACTTGGACCTCCTCAGCTCTTATTCATCTCTTCATCCCCTCAAAGATCAGATCTGTCACAACTGTACAACACGGTCTGCTAAAGCTGATGGGACAATCTTAAGTTTTTATTTCACCCTCATGAGCAAATAATTGTTGTGATTCCTCTGAATTTTGTATGTGTGTAATGTTCAAACCCATGATCTCAGAGTGTTTTTTAAAGAAAAACCTAAACCGGGTGAAGATGTCTTTTCTCCAGAGGCTGGAGTCGGTTGTCCCTGGCACAGTGAAGAGAGCTGCTGTTGGGCACGTGCACAGACTGGGTGAGGGATGATTTTCAACATCAAGGCTAACGTCATGTTCTCTAGTACACTGTCCTGCTGTGTTTGGTTTGGCTCCTGCTGGGAAATGTTTTCTGCATCATAAAAATGAATGTGACTGTGAATGAAACTGACTTTGGTTATGATGTGCACATTAATGCGTAACTTGTCATCAGCAGCAGAAACTGTTTCTCCTTCTCTCTGCGCTGCCACACATCACATTTCATGAATTATACTTTACCTCATTCACAAATGTGTCATAATGCTATTAAAAAGAATAAACACTGAAGCTACGAAGTCAGTAGGTGTGTTGTTCTTTACTTTAGGGGTAGAGTAGAAGCACATTTGAATAAATAAGTCCCTCACAAGTTTAGTAATCTTGTTCCTATATGCAAATTACACAAACTGTTATGGTTTGTGGACTTGCTTCCTGTTTTGTGCTTTTATTTTGGTTAAGTTTCCTATCTTGTCACCTCACTTGCCCCAGCTTTACTCTGGTCATAATCACCATTGCAGCTGTTTATACCCATTGTCCCCTGGTGTTCTCCCTTTATATCCTGCTCCCTTCCCTCAGTCTGGTTGCTGGTTCATTTTGTCTTCATGCCTCATTGACCCCTGTCGTCTCCGTTCTCTCATCTCACCACTCCTGCATCCAGTGATGGCTGATGAGGCTTTGTAGAAGCCAAAAATGGTTCATTACTGGAGGCTTCAACGACACAGTGCTCGAGTAGGACATCTAGTGGTCAATAAAATGAAGTGCAATCAAGACATGTCATTGGTTCATGGAATGTTTGGCGCTTAATGAGTACTTTAACTTTTAGTACTTTAAGTATGTTTTGATGCCAGTACTTTTGTACTTTTACTTAAGCAACTTTTTGAATGCAGTACTTTTACTTGTAACAAAGTATTTTTACACAGTTGTATTGCTACTTGTACTTAGTACTGAGTACTTCTTCCACCATGGTCAAGATGCTCTTCTTCTGCAGCTCTGGTCCATGAAGTTGACATCAAGCAGGTAGGAAACAGGATCCACTGCAGCTCAGAGGGGATCTACCCTGAACCGGAGCTCACCTGGTCCACCAGGCCTCCGTCCACTGTGACCTTCGAGAACACAACCACAGTCCAGCAGACTGAACAGCGTCTCTATAGCATCAGTAGCTCTCTGATAGTTTCGGACAGTGTCACTAGTCTGGACTACATCTGCACAGTCAGCACTCACACAAACAGGAGGACAGCCACTGTGTTTAAACGAAGTAAGGCTTTATTAGAAGTCTAATAATGTGGAGGATCATGGTCCCCTAAATAGTTACCAAAGCCCAACATTCTTTAAAACTAGTCAACCTGGAACCACAAGTGCATCAAAATAACACTTTGTCCCTTGTTTCCTTTCAGGTCCCATCAGCACAGCAGACAGTGAAACAACAATCCAGTGCACCTCTACAAACAGTCCTCTAACAGGCCTCGTCTGGAGGTTCAACCACAGTCAGACCATCCTAACCCAGACCGGGCCTGACGCCCTTGTCAACGTGTCAGAGGGGTGGGAGCATCATGTGAAGAGTGTGTCAGAGTCGGGCAGCCTCACACTACAGAAGTTATCTTCAAACCATGAGGGAGTGTACACCTGTGAGCTCAGTGGTGCTGCGCCGACGACTGTCACCAGCACCTTTCTGAGGATAGACACAGGTAAGGAATAACAAGTGTCCATCTGCAGTGTCTGTGCTGTACACCCAAGTATTCACACTTATAGTAACATGACTCACTGTGTCCAGTCACTAGTCACTCACTGTGCTGAGGTGTGTCCATCAGCCTCACACGTTCTGGTTCATTTTTATTAGACTGTGCAAACACAGAACTGCCCATGTTTTGGGTGGAACATAAAGGGAACCTACCGACCCGCAGTTATGGTGTTCCAGGTGCTGATCTTAGTGCTGAACCTACAGAGAGTTATCAGCTGGATGTGAAGCTCCCAGTGACTTTCCTGAGCTTTAAGAGTCATTGTTTAGCTGTCTGGGCCTCATGTTACTGTTCTGTTTCACTCTAACTGCTCTCATTGTGACGTGATGCTGCAGTCGTTGTCATATTTGGATTTGTGGTCAAAGTTCACTGTCTCTTTCCTGTTTCAGAGACTTCACATAATCGCGGAGCCATTGTTGGTGGGGTGATTGGATTTGTAGTCCTGGTCCTGGTCCCGGTTGTAGTATGCCTACTATACTGGTATTTTAAAAGACAGAAAGGTAAAAGCATTTTCTGCCTTCACCTTTTTATTTATTTAGTGAGTTTGTTTTACATTGGGAACATCAGACTTCAGGCTTGAACTGGTGTTTTGACTCATGAACATCCCTGATACTGTCACCTCTGATGTGCAACCTCCCAGTCATTTTACAGTGCACTGCATACTGTATTTTAATTAACCAGCAAATAATAAATTAAAACACATCCTCTAAGTTTAGCTTGAATTTAACCCTTTAGCATACAGTTTCATCCTCTTAAGGAGTGAACCCACCAGTCGGTTAGTGATGTGAACCTGCTGTGTCTCTCCAAAACAACCCAGGTTCACAAAGTTGTGACGCTTGATAGGAAAATGTTTTGTCAAAGAAACGAGGGTAAAACGAAAGAAGTAACCAAATTAAATTCAAAGCTTTATGTTTGATGTAATTGTTTTACAGAAGTGGTTTTTCATGTTTTAGAAGAAAAAAAACTTGAATTTTCATAACTGAATTTGATTAAATTTTGTTTACAGACAAAGCAGGAGAAAGAATGCCTTCTGAGAACATTGTCCTCTTAAAAAAGAACATAGAGGCACTACTAACTCTCAGAGCAACTAACAGCAACAGCAGCAACAAACCAACCTACTCTGCAAAGCCAAATTCAAATGAACGCCACTAAATAGGGATATCCTACCTCTGAACACACTCATCCGCAAAGTGATTCACATGACAAACCCAACCAACCAGCTGATTTGTATGACGTCAGATGCATTCAACTGCTTCAAACGTCACCAAAACACGCCTCGGCACAGTGGTTCTGTTCAATTACTTCATGAGCTATGGCGCATGTGTCGGAGCCTCGGGAGTCAGAGGGCCATCACTACCTGGATCTTTGCCCCCGTCTCTCCTTTGTTCCTGACTTTGGTTTATTTCACTGGTTTGGTTTGTACCCAGCTCCCTGACCTAGTTTTGTACTTTTGTTTTACTACGTCAGGTTGAACCTTGTATTTTGCTCTCATTTCTTGTTTTGTGTTGCATTAAAATGCTATTGAACTCTGCCTTGGCTTGCATCTGTATATTTTGGTTTTTCCCCTTGCCCGAACAATAACACAGTGATAGAAGTACGTTTTTAAGCTAAAATAGTAGTACCACTGTGTAAAAATATTTTGTCATGAGTAAAAGTCCTGCATTCAAAATGTTACTTAAGTTAAGGATCAAAAATACTGGTATCAAACTAGTAAAAAGTAAAGGAAGCTAGTATATGAACCATGACAAAGTACAAGATTTGCCTCTGAGATGTAGTGAAGTCCAAGTATGAGGTAGCAGAAAATGAAAATAAGTACAGATTCCTCTAAATTGTACTTAACTACAGTACTTGTGTAAATGCACTACAGTGACGTGGAAATCTGAAGCCCAGTGACTTAAACAGGTTTGGAGCAATGCAACCATGTGAGTGGCTTAACCAAATTATAAATCCCACGGTTTGTTTACAACATGGAGTGTGCCTTTTTTGTGTGTGTACGCAGCGTTTATAAATGAGGCTTCTGTTCCCCCATTGAGATGTGTCCCCTGACCTGAGTCCCACCTAATCCTAACCCTAAACAAGTTGTCTGGTGAATATTAGAATATCCATAGAAGGGACAGTCTTTTAATAACTTGTATGTGTGTCACTATAAATATTCTTTGACAGAGGGGATGTGTACTCTGACGTGAAATCCAGAGTGTCACGCTATAAGAAAGTAAATTGGTTTTAAACACAAAATATGGTCAATACTTAGTGAATGTACATTATGGCCTACATATTTGGTCTATGTGTGTGGGTATGCACACTGAAAGTCCTATGATTTACAACACCGATACAACATTTCTTTTAGCAACAACATGCTGATGAATGCGAGTTTTGCTTCTTTTCTTTAACCTTGAAATGAGTTATGTTACAATATCCATTGGGCAACTTTAACATATGTTATCAATCTAAAACCTCAACTTTACTCACTCCAGAAGCATGCACACAGACCCACCCTTCAGCAGATAGCTAAACTTGGCCCTGCCTTCACAAGCTTAACTCCATGTTGTGAAAAATCCACTCGACTTTTCTACCCGTCGCTCCCAGGTTTTGACTGATATGCACCAACAAGATGACGGGGATCAAGTGTCCTGTGCTTTTAGTGGTTGTGACCTGTCTGTGGATGTCTGGCAGAGGAGGTAAGTGAGTCAAAATAGAAAGCACATTTTGAACTTATCCATTATTTATATGGTACATATTTTATGTTAAGGCATTGTAAAACATTTCCTGACACACTCCAGTGGCTTTTAGGTGGCTTCTGTGGTTTTGGTGCCAAGGTTTTAGATAGTCCTGTGAAACTTTGTCCTCTGTTTCAATACAAAAGGATTTTTGTTCAATTTATGGCATAAGAAGTAACTATGCATCACTGTTTGCAGAAAATATTGTGCATTTTTTCCATTTCCAAGAGAAACTGTGTTAACATCTGTTCAAATAAAAAATCACCAAAATCTGTTATTTATCAAGGGGTGCCTAAACTTTTGCATAAGACTGTACATATCAAGACTTAGTAATAGGGATAAAGTCCAGTGACTGCTTTCTTAAGAAAAAAAGGAAACTGAAAAAGGCTGAGAGGCAGGGCTGGATAACTAAATGAGCCAAGGGGGCCCAAGGGGACAGGGGGCCCCTAGGCCCATGAAGGGACTAACATATTAATTGGAAATCAAATTACTACAAAACGTGGGGGGAAAAGCTGCAATACATCTATAAAAATATACAAACCATTAAAACCAGACAAGCCCTACAGCAAAACAAAACTATGAAAATGACAAAAAAAGACAAAAAAAAGAAATAGGTGTAAAATGACTAAACCAATTCAAAATAAGTTTAAAAATGACAAATATAACTAAACAAATTGAAGACAACTATAAACACAAACCAACCAAGACACAATACTATGTTGAACTGTGATGAGACACTCCTCTAGTTTAGGAATCCTGCAAAGCTGTAGTGCAGCTTCCAGGCCAGTCATGATCTGGTCATCCACTGGTATCAGACAGGTAACGACTATCCTGTCCACTCCTACTACAAAAGCCAAGACCAGCTGGGCCACCAAAACCAGCGCTTCAGAGGGACCGGGTGTCGAGCTTCGGAGGGTAACACAGTCAATGGTGGAGATGATAAGAGGACCGGGCTGTGGACACTGGGGTTCACTCCTGGACTGGTCGGGTTAGGTGCAACTGCAGATAAATATAAATAGTACATACAGTGAGTGGTAGACTGTGCATCGACCTGCAGGGTGGTGAAGAGCAGAGTGGAGGAGGTCCGTGTTCCGAACGAGCGGCTGATGGAACAAAAAAAACAAAGGGAATGTAATCTAAGCAGCTGGAGAGAAGAGACACAAAACACTAAATACAGATTCAAAAGAACGCCGGGGAACAAACGGGCCTGAGAAAAGCTAGAAAGAACTGACAGGGGAGTGAACGAAGAGCAGGGACTAAATAGGGAGAAGCTAATCAGGTGCAGCTGGTGGTAATCTGGGGGTAAGAAGCAGGTGTAAAGGAAAACGTAAACAGGGTAAAGGAGTGAAAACAGAGTGAGGGGAGTGAGAAAAGAGGTGCAACCGGGCAAACCTGACAAAAACCTGCAGGACGATCAGCTGCTGGATGTTGTCTGCATTCCTGATAAAGGTGCTGACTTCCTTAGAACAACAAAAATGTATTTAATGTTGCTGATTTTTTTTTACTTCACCATTGGTCCAAGCCAACAAAGCACCACCTCCACTGTCCTTGTTATGACAGCTCGACACAATTCTGAGCGAGCAAAAATGAGCAGACCCAGGCGGCTGGCTTCGGTGCAATAGGTGGGTTTATTTACAGTGGTAAACAGAGGTGCAATACATATATACAAAAATAGAATGAATGAATATCACCGGGTGATGACCAACAGTAGTGGAGGGTGGTGTGAATCAGCATCCATACAATAATAATAATAATAAAGACCAGTATAACAGTATGGATGCTGAATCAGCATCCATACAATAATAATAATAATAAAGACCAGTATAACAGTATGGATGCTGAATCAGCATCCATACAATAATAATAATAATAAAGACCAGTATAACAGTATGGATGCTGAATCAGCATCCATACAATAATAATAATAATAAAGACCAGTATAACAGTATGGATGCTGAATCAGCATCCATACAATAATAATAATAATAAAGACCAGTATAACAGTATGGATGCTGAATCAGCATCCATACAATAATAATAATAATAAAGACCAGTATAACAGTATGGATGCTGAATCAGCATCCATACAATAATAATAATAATAAAGACCAGTATAACAGTATGGATGCTGAATCAGCATCCATACAATAATAATAATAATAAAGACCAGTATAACAGTATGGATGCTGAATCAGCATCCATACAATAATAATAATAATAAAGACCAGTATAACAGTATGGATGCTGAATCAGCATCCATACAATAATAATAATAATAAAGACCAGTATAACAGTATGGATGCTGAATCAGCATCCATACAATAATAATAATAATAAAGACCAGTATAACAGTATGGATGCTGAATCAGCATCCATACAATAATAATAATAATAAAGACCAGTATAACAGTATGGATGCTGAATCAGCATCCATACAATAATAATAATAATAAAGACCAGTATAACAGTATGGATGCTGAATCAGCATCCATACAATAATAATAATAATAAAGACCAGTATAACAGTATGGATGCTGAATCAGCATCCATACAATAATAATAATAATAAAGACCAGTATAACAGTATGGATGCTGAATCAGCATCCATACAATAATAATAATAATAAAGACCAGTATAACAGTATGGATGCTGAATCAGCATCCATACAATAATAATAATAATAAAGACCAGTATAACAGTATGGATGCTGAATCAGCATCCATACAATAATAATAATAATAAAGACCAGTATAACAGTATGGATGCTGAATCAGCATCCATACAATAATAATAATAATAAAGACCAGTATAACAGTATGGATGCTGAATCAGCATCCATACAATAATAATAATAATAAAGACCAGTATAACAGTATGGATGCTGAATCAGCATCCATACAATAATAATAATAATAAAGACCAGTATAACAGTATGGATGCTGAATCAGCATCCATACAATAATAATAATAATAAAGACCAGTATAACAGTATGGATGCTGAATCAGCATCCATACAATAATAATAATAATAAAGACCAGTATAACAGTATGGATGCTGAATCAGCATCCATACAATAATAATAATAATAAAGACCAGTATAACAGTATGGATGCTGAATCAGCATCCATACAATAATAATAATAATAAAGACCAGTATAACAGTATGGATGCTGAATCAGCATCCATACAATAATAATAATAATAAAGACCAGTATAACAGTATGGATGCTGAATCAGCATCCATACAATAATAATAATAATAAAGACCAGTATAACAGTATGGATGCTGAATCAGCATCCATACAATAATAATAATAATAAAGACCAGTATAACAGTATGGATGCTGAATCAGCATCCATACAATAATAATAATAATAAAGACCAGTATAACAGTATGGATGCTGAATCAGCATCCATACAATAATAATAATAATAAAGACCAGTATAACAGTATGGATGCTGAATCAGCATCCATACAATAATAATAATAATAAAGACCAGTATAACAGTATGGATGCTGAATCAGCATCCATACAATAATAATAATAATAAAGACCAGTATAACAGTATGGATGCTGAATCAGCATCCATACAATAATAATAATAATAAAGACCAGTATAACAGTATGGATGCTGAATCAGCATCCATACAATAATAATAATAATAAAGACCAGTATAACAGTATGGATGCTGAATCAGCATCCATACAATAATAATAATAATAAAGACCAGTATAACAGTATGGATGCTGAATCAGCATCCATACAATAATAATAATAATAAAGACCAGTATAACAGTATGGATGCTGA